TTTTTTTTTTTCTTAACTGGGGATTGAACTCAGACCCTCATGCTTGCCAGGGAAGCGCTTATTCTACTGAGCCATCTCCCCGGCCCCAAGTTACACATTTCAATGATGGTTAGCTCTCGTAAGGTCACGGCTTTGATGGTGATGGTGCTTTTAGAGAGATTCTAAGTTATAAAGTAATGGGATATTCTGATTTTCCCCTCAAACTGAGTTTGAGCCAAGCTTTAAGGATCCTTGTCTATGGTTCACACACACCCAAAATGATGTGGCAAGGAATTGCTTTAGCTCTTGGGGTGCTGACACAGAAGGATCACTTGAGTTGAGAGTTCTATACCAGCTGGGCAACATACCGAGATCCCCTTCCCCACCCTGTTGGATTGCACAGTTGGAGAGTAAAGTACAAAAACCAACCAAAAAAAAAAAAAAAAAAAAAACCAAAAACTGAAAAAGCCACAGGAGGGTACATCCCTGTAACATTAGCCCTCGGGTGGCTCAGGAACATAACCATTTTGAGGCCAGCATGGGCAACTTAGCATGACCCAGTCTGAAAATCAAATATTAAAAAAGGGCTGGGAATATAGCTCAGTGTAAGGCCTGAGTTCATTCCCCAGTACTCCAGTGCCCTTACCAACTGCTAGAAAGAAAAAGAACCAGTTGGCCATGGTTTGCTTTGAGTACTTGAATTGTTTTTAAGCCTTTTATTTTTCTCAAAGAACTAGTGGATATCAAATATGGGCTATCCACTGCTGCTCATAGAAGTTCTGAGTAAAACTGGTGTTGTGAAGATAGCGTCAGCTGTGACTTGGATGTCACCATCTCATATGAGGCCAGCGTAAGCCACGTGATAGCTGTGGTCTTTACCAACCCATCGAGTCTTTAAACTGCATGATCATTGCATTTGTGAATGCAGATAAAATGAAGATAGAACAAAAGATTTTCATTAGTATTCTTACAAGGGCTGAGGAGATGGCTCAGTAGAATAAGTACTTGCTTGGCAAATGCAAGGGCCTGAGTTCAATCCCTGGTTCTGGGAGGAAAAAAAGTATTCTTATACCAGGATTCTAATAATGGATTCTAATTTGTGGCAGATTACCTTGTTTGAAAGTAAAACTGCTACACTCAGCATCCATGTTTTTGCTGTTACCTGAACAAATAGGACTTTTATCACTTGGCGACATCCAAGACTTAGGCATTTGACCCAAGAGGGTAGATGGGATCTTTTATTTTTCCACATGCAGTGAACTTTTTAATTTTTTAATTTTTTGACAGAACCGGAGATTGAACTCAGGCCTTTGCACTTGGAACTTTTTTTTTTCCGGGGGGGGGGCACTTTTTTTTTTTATCTTCAAATATTTGAGATTTTATTGGTTGTGTTGAGGATCAGTACACATGATTCACTTTGTACGCAATTCTTAACACACATACCAAAAAAAAGCCATATATT